TCTACTTAGTGTTTTTCTATTTTGTCACAATGATTCAGACTGCATTATTTTCCTTGATGATCTGTGACTATCAGCTCACTGTTACACACTGTGCTACACTACTGAGTTCATGAGCAGTGAAGGTGACTGAATACGTTGCTGAGCCACAAAATCAAACAATAAATATTAGCATACTGTGCTTTCACAACAAACCCATTATCACTGTACCATTTATAGCTTGTAAATTGACCCACACGTTTATTAGTTCTGTGACATTTTTATTTTTAAAATATTTGACTACGTAACTAAAACATTTTATCCTTAACTTTTTTCCTACTGTAAAAATGAAGGACCAAACATCAATCCAAATATACATATTCAAAAAGAATGGGCAGTGGTGTGACTGTAGTCCAGGTCTGACCTGTTTGGTCCTGTCCTTGGAGTCTGGAGACAGGTTGTTGAAGGTGTAGTGGGCCTGAGTGATTCCACAGAACAGCACTGCGACCACACCTGCAACACACCCAGAGGGGCAAAGATACAGAAGAGTTAGAAGCTCAATAAAAACTGATTATTAACAACAGCATTATGTTTTTGATCCTCACAGGAAACTTATTTTGTACAAGGACAAGGACACTTTTGCAACGTGGATGCTATTTGGTGTGTGTGTGTGTGTATTACCTGTGAATCCACAGGCCTCAGCCAGTAGGAATGTACTCCATGACATGAGAAAGAACAGAGCCGTCTCCAACAGCGGGAAATCTCTCAGCTTAGTGAACTTAGTCACGTACGGACAACAGTCAAGGAGTTTAACAAGACACTCAGACATTGCAAAATGAATCCATATTAAACTTTTATCTATTATTCATGAAATGAACAAAGGACAGGTGAGTCTGAATAAATCTGGCCCTGTGGTAGGATAATTTGTAAAGTGATGTGTTTCAAGGAGAGTCTTAAACTGACTCACAGCTTCTAATGGAGCCATTATTTCAAAATACTGTCATCTGTTTCACGTGGATTCTACAAACAAGACAAATATCTTGCAAACAAGTTTCATTATCTACTCATTTTTATGAGTGACTCACTTTTCCTCCTTTACTTTTACAAAAAGCAAGTTTGCACCTCTTACTATCAATTCAATTGTTCAAGGCACTTTTTGTAATGTAGTAACATCTACAACTGAATAAATAATTAAGATTTAATTTACATTTAACCATGCTGTGTAAATACTTTTTCTTGCTTTATAAAGGAACGTTTTAGAAATCAATCAAGATTAATATAAATAAATAAATAAACACTTAAATGACAGAAAAGATATGAGTGCGGTGAAGACTCCGGTGGCCACTCCCAGAGCAAAAGAGCCGCTGAAAACTCCGAGGAACATCCCAAAAGACTTCAGCATCGCCATGACCTCAAAGGTGTGGCTGTTGTCTCCTTGTGGCTGGTATGCAACTATAGACCTGATATAACACACAATAAAACCATTTAATGGCGACTACAAATGCGCAGAGAGAGTTAATCATTGAGTTATACATAAACTTTACTTCTTAAACTAAAGCTAAAGCCTCCATACAGATACCAATGTAGTATTTGTATAATATGATAACCTGCACTGTAAGTAGATATTCTTGTTAATAACTGCACATTCCAGCACTTGGTAAGGTCTCCTTGTACTTTCTTGAAAACCTTTCAGGTGTGCTTTCACAGCAAAGACTCTTAGTCATGTAAACTGAAGGACTCGAGATAAAGAGAAAGGCAGAGTAATGTCTATTTGAATAGTTCAGTGTTAATACTCAACTTAGGACAATGTGGCTTTCTAAAAATTCTACTGAAGTGATACTGCTCGTCAAGTTAAGCACAGATAAGTAACTTATCCTTTAGACTGCACATATGTAGGCAAGTTTCCACAAAGGTCAAGGTTCGTTAAACAATAGACAATAAAAAATACTATGGTGTAGTTTTGGCTTACTTTACTGCCTTTTAGTGACTGTTTCTACCAAACAAACATCATTACTTGCTGTTAAATACACATTTTGTCAAGGTAGAAGAAGGAGAAAACCATGATCTGCCAATAGAGCAAGAAAAGAGCTTTTTTCCTCCCTAAAAAGATAAATTAGTCCACTTAAGCCTGCTTGTAAAGGAAAATAAAAATGTGATGAAAATGTTTTCACTGTACGGTATGTTATTTATATGTGTCACCTGGTAGTTGAGTATGAACACTGAACTGTCCCAATAAAGTCAGACTTGAAAGAACAGGAACATACTTCTTGTGTCTAGCTTTAAAAAGGGAGTGTGTAATGAGAAGGATTTTATCGCAGCAGAATTATTTAAAATTTAGCAGGGGAGTTATCGGTCAGTAAAAAATACATTTTTATTTTGTTGGGTAACTTTTGCGATAAAATGTAAATAAAGTATATATTCACTTTCTCCATTCACAGCCCCAACACTCTCAAGACAAATCACCAGGCACTTTGTCTATAAGCAATCTGGGCGTCCTGCCCTCTCCTTGGCTTTTGTCTTTACAGTATCTTGAAAGATAATAGGAATGCGTTCTGAGCTGGCTCATGACATCAAAACATGTTTACCAAAAAAATAATAAAATCTTCTGCACCTCTGGTTGAATAAGCCAGAGTGGAAAAACAAATGGCTGGTGATTTGTCATGTTTGTCCCAAGGCACCGCAAAGGCACACAATGCCATGCTCTACTTAGTACACCCGTTCAATGGGCTGGTCAGAGTCTCTCCGCAGGCGCCGGCCCCTCCACTGTGCCTGCTATTATAATTTACAATTCTGTGGAAATAATAACAGTCCCATATAGAGGAGGAGAATGTTAGCTCAGGGAACACCTCATGTTTAGCACAGCCTTACAGAGAAGCTGACATTAGGTTAGTTAAAAGGTCACAGGCCGATTGATACAAAATGCATGACTTGCGCTCTCAGGGAACCAGTAACTTCGCAGCTCTGTGCAAATTCAAGATGCGTTTGGGATGCGATGGTTCGAGTGTGATGTGAAAAAGACAGACGACTTACGAGGACAGAACCACGGCCACTGCGTCGTTGAGCACACTCTCTCCAAACAGCAACGCGTACAGATCCACGTCTACCTGTAGCTCGTTGAAGATAGCCAGGACCGTCACTGTGAACAAACACAAAAACTTAATTCCCCCTAACCAAAACAATGATACATATCACTACACAAGATGGAAGCAGGTGTCAAGAGCTGTGTTTCAATTCTATACTATATAATAATACTGTAAAGTAAAGTTTTAAGTGATTATTACTTTTTACTATACTTCTGGGTATTGAATTATTTTAGTCTTTTCTGAGGTTTTTCCCTTTTTACCTCAGTTTTTTCATTTTACCAGCTGTGGATCTCAGATGTAAACATATTGGCCATCAAAACTGAACAATTGTAACAGACGTGATGGTAAACACAGTTATTCTTAATATACTGTTTGCGATTTTGACACTAAGTTTGTAGGTAAGTAACGGAAGCTATATTAGAACTTTTTAAAAGTTAAAAAGCTCTCACACACGGAAAATATGAAAATGAATAAAATTAAATTACAATATAAAACACAGCCCATTGACAGACTAAACTAAAACGGAATTAAAACATAAGACAGGGATGGACATCTACAGAAAAGCTTGCCTATAAAAGATGGGTTTTCAGAAGTCGCTTAAAACAGTTCAAAGTCTGATAGATAAGATGACTCCAGAGGGTTGGGGCTATAACAGCAAAGGTGCAATCACCTTTTGTTTAGCAGTTGGAGCGATGGATAAAAAGAGAGATAATTGAGGATCGGAGTGCAGGATCAGAAATGCAGTGCTTTATATGCAATCAACAGGATCTTTTAGTTTATTGCGACTTTTACAGGAAGCATATGGAGGGGTGCAAGAACAGGGGGTATGTTGGACCGATTGCTAGTTCTAGTAAATGGCCTGGCAGATGGATTTTGAACTACCTGTAAACAATTTAGAGCAGCTTGACTGAGGCATGTGTAGAGGGAATTACAGGAGAAATCGAAAGTGTGAATTAATAGCTCGAGAGCCGTAGAAAATATACATTTGTCCAGAATAAATAGTGCAAGCTTTGAACAATTCAAAAGCTAAAAGTGAATCTGGTTTATAATTAGTGTAACTCATAGGCAGGGAAAACTTTGAAAGCTGAGAATGAGCATACACACCGGGGTCCGTGGCAGAGACGATTGCTCCAAAGAACAGACAATCAGTGAAGAAGAAGTCGCCATCCAGCTGTCCCACCTGCTTCATTAGCATCACACAGCCATACATCAGCAACCTGATGGAGGAACAGCAGGTGGTTTTGCATATCATCATAAACAACACTGACTTTATTGCCATTATGGGCACTTTAACACCACAGTAATTGACATATATGAATACTGCCCTTGCATACAATGTCTATGGTGCATATTGTGGCCCCAATGCAGAAAGGTGGATTTTTGTTCAGCAAATTAATATTCTTACCCAATAACAAAACAGGAAATAACTGTCCCCAGAAAGGCATAAGCCAGGATGGATCCCATGTTACGGAAAAAGTGCCTCTGAAAGACAAAACAATTAAACATGTCAGCAATCATCTGCATAGTGGCTGTAATCGCCACTCAACTCTGAGAGGAAATAAGTGGATTTCAGCATTTCATATTGAAGAGAGGACATCAGGAGTCAAACGTGTTATTAAAATATTCACTTTGTAATTAATGAGCATTTCATTTGTATTCAACAGTAGAGATAAATAGTACTGTACCCTTTTTAAGCTGTAGCCAGCGTGGAAGATGATAGGTGGGAGGAGAATATTGAAGAACACTTCAGGGTCAAAGGTCACCTGAGTCACACACACACACACACACACACACACACACACACAAACAAACAAACAGGATCATATTACAGTTCTGGATCAGTTTGATATGAATAGAACAAAAAAGTTGTCTTAATGGATACTTCTTAATTAATCCTAAATGACACATCTGGGGCAGCATGAAGTAGCTTCCAGGACAATCAACAAAAAATGATTATAATGGTGAAATGATGGGATGGGAAATGGGGACAGCATCTATACACATGCAGAGCCAAACACATGTTAGGTGTAAATCTGTATCAGTGCTATTTTAACAGTTGTCTGTAGTTTGATGAGTTTCATTTGTAATAGAGGAAATCTGATGGTGAACAAACTTCAACCAATGACAAACAGTGCTACAATGTGAAAGACCTCCATGACATTTTGTTTACATTTCACCAACATAACCACAGAATAATAATTATGGCTCCAAAAAGTTCAAGTGACCTTCAGGCAAAAGGCATCTGTCTGCTGCCTCTGATTGAGAGCAGCCTCCTGACACTTATTTGATCAGAGGTAATAAGCTTTTATAGAATATAAAAATAGAAGATATATTTAATATATTTAATGTGGAGAATGCAGAATGGCTTAATTATCAATTAATCTGAAATTGATTTTCTCAATTAATTAATCATTTTGTCTATAAAATGTCAGAAGTGAGAATTATATATAATTATAATTTGCCAGAGCTCAAGGTAACATCCTGTCTGACCAACAGTCCAAAAAGATTCCCAGTAAATTCATAAATGCAAATACACACATAAACATTAGTAATTACAAAATAGTTGACAATTCATTTTCTGTTGATTGACTAATCGATCAACTGATGATTGGGCTCTATATTATACAGTTGCAACATGAACAGTCGAAAAAAACTTTAAACCTGTATGTGACATATACATGGAAACTTCACAATATTCCTGATATGTAATCATTCGTGGCACTGAACAACTTCTTGGGGTCAAACATGAGATTTATGACAATAAAGCGATGGCCTGTACCTTTCGCAGCATCTCATTATCTTGAACGTCGTCCACCGCGTTGGCATTGATCTCTCCTTTCAGAGTGTACTCGTAGAATTTACCACTGACGTTGATCAGCAGTGTGGCGGGGCTGGCATTAACGGGGCAGCTCAGCGTGATGTTGCTAATGTCCCGGGGAACATGGATGCCATAGCGCAAGACCACGCCAACAAGTACGCCTGGGAAAAGAACCACGACAAACAGGATACAGAGGGGCGAAGTTGATTAGTGTTGCAACAAGAAGGCTAAAATGATGAAGACATGTCACTAGAGGAGTGAATGTGGGGTCATAATTCTGGGTTCATCACATGTTTCAGCTGTGGAAAAGACATGAAGATATGGAGAAAAAGTACAATTCTTACCCAATTCTAACTTTTGCTATGAAATTAAAATCCAACATCCATATGAGAATGATATATTTGGATATAAATTAGGAATACTACAGTATGTGTTAAGATAATGACTCTAAAAAAGTAAAAAAGGTGTGTTCAATGACCAGGAAGTGGGAGTCACATGATGTCCCCAAACCCTATCTAAAAAATACCATGTAAGTTGACACTCTAACAGTTGCACCAAAACTAACTGGAGAGTGTAGAAGGTGTCAATTAAGCACAGTTTGCACAAGCCCACTCTCTTTTGACTAATCTAGCAGGAAACACTATTGCTGCTAATGATGGCTGCCAGCATGACATCTGAGTGCAATTCATTATTATTGATATTAACCAGTACAACTGTTTTCCTCCTACTATGACAAGTCAAAATGTCTGCAGTGAAAAAGGCCAATCAGGCAAAATCCAAACACCTACTGCTGTGCTGGTAGCAATTATAGAAACAAGTCATCGTAGATACAAATAGTAACATGATTCTACTTCAGCGTGACCAACTTCTCATCCATTCAGAAAATTATTTTAAGGAGGTTGGCTTGGGGGGGTTGACAGCTCTACAGACATACCGCCACCTCATACTACTTTAAAAATAAATGGAAGTAAAGAGAAGTGACAGCCCAGCCAGTGGCTTTGTTTGTCCTCTCAGGAGTGGGATGTGTTTGTGTTGCTCAAAATTACCTTCACCCTTTAGAGAAGTGAAAATGTAGAGGGAAATTTTGGGCAGGCCTTTTCAAACCACACTAGTTCCCTCTGGGGACCAACAAATACCTAGTTACAAGGAAGGTATTTTTCTTACCAAGCACATACTAGGTGTTCCCACTGCCATAAATATGAAGAACCAGCCTAAAACTCATTGAAATGCTTGGTATTTTATTTCCGGTTCGGGCAGAATGAAGCCTGACACCGACAATATCCTTTCAAACCCTGGTCACGAGTATAAAATGAAAAGTAATGACACTGACGACGTCTCTCAGTCACGCTGGAGCATCTCACCATAAATCATCGCCAGCCCAGTTTCGTGCAGAAACCTGAACCGCCGGTGTTTGAACAACCAGATGGTGAGGATGGTGAGGGTGAGGAGCATGATGAAGATGAGCAGGTCCGCGCTGTCCTGCCTGTGGCTCTCCTCAGCCTTTTTCTCTGTAACGATGTTCTCCATGGCACTGTCCTCCTGAGTTGATGATGCTCGGCAAACACAGACGCACACAGACAGGCTCACCAGCACGAGCAGCCACAGCGTCCTGGTCGCCCTCCACGCACTGTCGACAGTCACTCTGAACACCATTTCGGCTGGTCGGAGCTCAAATGCTGCAATGTCGTCGTGGATAACAGCAAACTTTGTGCAAATATTATCCACGAACCGGGGGAGGGGGGGGGTAGAGAGTGGATAGACGACAGCAACAGAGGAATCGATTCCGGCCCGGAAGTGAAAACTGTTTTTCCAGAAAGTGGACAATGTTTATTTCGATGTAAGAGCACCGTATCAGGATGTTGCTAGTTTAAAGAAAACCTAATCGTTAAATCGTTGCGTAATGTATTGGGTGGTATGTGTATGGCATGTGAATGAACAAAGATAAAGATTTAAAGAGTATTTCCATAGCTGATGATAATAGTTCTAACCGAGGACTCTTATTATGAAATTTCGAATTGTCATCACTCTGAACAGGAAGTGAGATGGAAAGCGAGATCATTTCTACGATTTTATTTTATTTTTCTGTGTTACTGACAAACTTGGCTGTTTTTAATAGATAACAGTTTAATGATTTTGTAGAAACCGTAAAGTTTCTTCCAATATGTTTTTTTGTAATGACGTTTAACTAACAATTTATATACTACAACTTTATAAAAAATGATTAACTACAATTTAAATATTTTTCTAAATGGAGATATTTCAGTGTCACCGTTTCCCCCCGAAACTCGTCTCTGTGACAAATCTCGCGATACAGAATAAGACACAGGAATCAATGCTACATTCACATGTTTCGGAAACCTAAGTTTCGTATGAACTAAAGTTAGAGAAGTCAGCGTACAAAAACAATTATACTTATATATAGCAATGCTTGTTGTTATTTCCTTACAATATGACATATTTATAAACTTTTGTGTCAATTAAATACAATAACAATAAGAGACATTACAGTTAAAGTTACCCTACAACAGCCAAAAACCAGGGACAACAAAATGCAAGTGACACAACTATGATATTACAATAATTTATTTAACAGAGCTACACTGGAAGGTATAAAGAATCTCCGAGCACGGGTAGTCTGCAATGGTGGTACCCTGTACTTTCGTCAATGGTGCAGGAAAGTGTACTGGAATGTGTTAGAAGCGTAATTTCCGAGCAGAGCCTGAATGTAGCAGGAGTCTTCACTATCCCCACTCGCATTTCGTTATGGCTGTGTTAGCTTCGTGAAGCTAAGCTGCGCCGATTTAATCAAAGTCAGCATAGTTATACTTGCCTTTTTGGGTGTTGTTTTTTTTTTTTTTTTTTATAATTTAAGCACGTTTATGTAGCGGCACCGCCCATATTACAAAAACGAAGATGACATCTAAAATAAAAGGTACGTTAAAAGGCTCAATTTAGCGCAAGTAACTATTGAGCTAAAGGCAGCTAGCTAGCGCTCTTATTTTGTAAACACGCCGCCTCTGCTTATGCAGTTTGTGTTGTAATGAATTAAATAAAATAGAAATATCGAGTTTGTGGTTGCTGCAAAATGTATGTAAGTTCCA